TATCTGCTGGATGTAGTTATAGTTGGCACAAAGGAAGGTGGTTATGGTTGTTGGAGGTCAGTGAACTCAGCACCAGGATACCTCTGTAGGAGACCTTCAGGGTAGTGTCCAAAGCCCAACCACCTTCAGTTGCTTCTTAAAGTCAGGAGTGGGAATATTCACTAATGATTGCACGATGTTCAGCACTATTCATGACTTCTCAGATACTGAAACAATCCATGGCCAAAAGCTGCCAATTTTACACAGTATGTAGGCTTGTACTGATAAGTGGCAAATTACATTCACACCACACATGCCAAACAATAACCATCTCCAATGAAAGAGAATATAACCATCATCCCTTGATGTTTAATGGCATTACCATCATGGAAACCCCCATTGTCAACATCCCAAGAGTTACCATTAACCAGAAACTAGACTAGTCCAGTCACACAAATACTGTGGCTACAAGATCAGGTTAGAGGCTTGGAAATCTGCAGCAAGTAACTCCCGTTCTGTCTCCCAATGACTGTTCACTACCTACAATGCATGACTCAGGAATGTAATAGAATATTTTCGATTTGCCTGGATCCGTGCGGCTCCAACAATACTCAAGAAGCTTGACAACATCCAGGAGAAAGCAATCTGCCTAACTGGCACACCATTCACCACCCTCAATTTTAATCCCTCAATGACCAATGCACAGTAGCAGCTATGTGTACCATTTTCCAAGATGCACTGCAGTAACTCACCAAGCTTCCTTTGACAGCACATTCCAAACTGTGAACTTTACCACCTAGAAGGGCAAGGGTAGCAGATACATGGAGCACCATCACCACAAGCTCCCCTCTAAGCCACACACCATGACTTGGATCTGTATCATCATTCCTTCACTGTCACTGGCTAAAATCTTAGAACTCCCTTCCTAAAGCACTGTATTCACCCGTACACCCCGATGACTTCAATTTTCAAAAGTAGCTCACTTACACTTACGCAGGGCCTAGCCAGCGATTCCTGCATCCCATTTTTTTTTTAATAATAGTTTATTGACTTTCAATAAATTTTAACAATACTTACAGTAATTATTGCAGGAAATGAGGGTGACATATGAAATTAAAAAGAGATTCGTTATAAAATGGGTAGCTGTATTAACGAAAGCAAAATACTACAGATGCTTGACATCTGAAACAAACACAGAGAATGCCTTAGAAATTCAGCAGGTCTGGCAACATCTGTGGAGAGAGTGAGACAGTTAACGTTTCAAATCTGGTCTGATTCTTCTTCAGAACTGAAAATGTGTTAGAAAATGTGGATTTTAATACTTCTGATATAGGAGGAGAGGTGAAAGAATCAAATGGTTTAGAGGTCCAGTGTAAAAGACAAAAGGGTTATAAATGGTGGTAAAACAGAAAAAGAGATATAAAATTGGGTAAATTAAGGTGTGATAGAAAATAGGTCCTCTCTGCCAAGAGTATATGTGTGTGCATGTGTGCGTGTGCGCGCGCGGAGAGAATGTAAGTCTGTTTCTGAAGTTACTAAATTTAATAATGAGACCTAGAAGCTATAAAGTGCTAAGCAGAAAGTAAGGTGCTGTTCCTCGAACTTGTGCTGTGCTTGTTTGGAACATTGCAGGAGGCCCAGGACAGAAATGTTAGCATCAAAGCAAGGTAGTTTATTGAAATGGCAAGCAACTGAAAGGTCAGAGTCATTCCTATAGAGAGGAGTCATTCATAAAGAGATCACCCAGTCCATGTTTGATCTCACTGATTTAAAGGAGATTACACTGTGAGTGGCAATATTAATGAGTTCTGTATGATTTATATTTTAGTGAAGGTGCACTAGAGCACCATAAACAACAGGCATCAGGACTTCGCTGGACAGTGACATTGTGGACAGAGGAGGAAAAGTAATAGGAAGTTAACTCATTACAAAAATCTAATAGGTGTAAACAAGGAACATTAACAGAGTTAGACCATGCAGGAAATGTTGGAGGTGAGTAGAGTTATCAAAACATCACCAAATGTCTTTTGCAATTTTGATGTTGTAGTATTACTTCTGTGCATGCAAATTAGAAGGAATTGTAGGGAAAGTGAAACGTAGTTGTTGGACAGTGATATATTGCAATAATTTGTAAGGAAAGAAGAGAATATGAAGATAAAGGATCAATTAAAGGGACTGAGGTCTTTAGACTGCTGCAAAAACATTAACCCATCATATGCCAATCATGAATTGATTTTAATGCTTTTAGAAGATGCCTAAGGTCTCTATAACAGTCAGGTTCAGAAGTTATTAAATCCCTTGTGCTTCAGATGTAAAAGGCTGCAGCTGTCACCATAATTTCAAATCTATAAAATCTGCTAGGTTGCTTGGATTGACAGGCTATCTGTGCAAGTTAAAGGAAAAGATAAGCTCTTGTTGAGCAATTTGAAATGAGTTCTATGACATTGGCTGAAGGGTTATTCATACTGTTATTATATTGTAAACATGTGGCTGAGTTTCAAAAGGCACAATTATCTTCACGAGGATGTTCGAAGTTCTTAATTTGATTGACACTTTAAAGTGAATATTAAAAGATTTGTTGTCTTTATCATGGAGTTTGACTAGAAGTTCATTTTTATAAGAGATTAACCATTTGATATTTCAAAGCCTTACATGAGTTTTATGAATGAAGACCTGTTTCATTATGAGGTATAGAAGTAAGGTCTGTATTAGATTGTTAGAATTCTCTATTTTTTTCATCTGTACATGATTTTTATAGTCTGCCCCTAATGGATACTGCGTGAATGGTTATAGAAGTGACAGAAAGGATCTGAGGGGCAGAGGTGGATGCATGCGTTGGCACAGAAGATGTGAAGAGTCAAGAGTGGTAGTGAGCATATTGGGTAGAAAACCTAACAATTGGAACAGCATCCCAGTGTACTGAGGCAGATATTGCAACTAATCTGCCAGTCAGCATACCTTTGTCATCCTGTAAATGCACCTTTCCCTCCACCTTCTTGTCCTAGAGCAAAAATTGCGAGACTTTTTAACCACAGCAACCCAGCTAGTTTGGAAATTTATTGAATTGCGCTTCAGTAGTGAATATCCAGCCTCTAGTACTAAACTATGATGGTGGTTGGAGTGAGGTTAATCATCTCACAGGTATCTAGTGTGGTGGTATTTTGTCATGATAGTTTATTCCACACCTTGTGCATTTTGTCACAGTAGGCTGATCAAGCACTTTAGATTAATTACCCGAAATAATTAGCAGTGAGCTTATCATGGTTTATGGAGCTTGATGTTGTCAGGCATAGCCAAAAGGCAGTAATTGCCAAATCAATGGAAAAAAGCACCTTATAACACGTAATCACATGTAAAGTATGGACCATTGAAAAGTATTTAATTCTTTTACAATATTGAGTATTTTGTGCATCAGCAACACCATGCATGACCAAAATATTTGTCATAATGTAGAAATTGTCTAGTGAATGGAAACAAGTGAAGAAAATGGGTATGAGTCACAAAAACTAAAATATTACATTAATTGAAATTTGTTTTGTTGAAGACATTCTATTAGGAAATCTGCTTAGGAAATGTCCCAGTGAATATGAATAAGTGATGGCAGCAGCTTTAGCTGTCAGGACGAAGGAGCAGATTAGCTGTCGTATGATATGATTACAAATAGAATCCATGCACTTAGCATTTAGAAATGCTTTCAGTGAACTCTGATATATTCTATATTTGGCATATTTTAAGAAGGTCCTTTTCACGTTATTGTTTTGAGAACCTGAGTTATAAAGTGGAGGAAAATGCATTTTAATTTTTAAGTTCTGTGACATTTTCTAAGGTCAGACGGTCATTTTGAATATTGAGTTCAAAACAGCATTCACAAGAAGTCAGAGACAACAAGGTTTAGAGCTGGATGAACACAGCAGGCCAAGCAGGAAAGCTGACGTTTCGGGTCTAGACCCTTCTCAGAACGTCAGCTTTCCTGCTCCTCTGATGCTGCTTGGCTTGCTGTGTTCATCCAGCTCTACACCTTGTTGTCTCAGATTCTCCAGCATCGGCAGTTTCTACTATCTCTTCACAAAAAGTCATGTGATTTCACCAAATAGTCACCTGGGAACATAATTGTTTAGGTATTTTCTGACTTGAGTGTTAGGACTACGAAAGAGAGAGAGAGAAGGGTTATGCAGGGGACAGAGTTGCTGTTATTAGCAGCCTTCAAGCATTTGGAGCTGGGGAGAGGTCTTCCGGTGAAGTCAGTGTGAAGAAAGCTCCAGACACAGAAAGCTGTAGACTGTTATGGAGGAAGAAATACTCCAAGGCTTTTGAAGCCATGAATGAAAGCAAAGATCTGAAGAAACAGAATGTGCTGGAGAAACTCAACAGATCTGGCAACACCAGCAAAGGGAGAAACTGAGTTAATATTTTGAGTTCAATATAACTCTTCTGTGGAACTCTCAGTATTAATGAAGTCATGGATTTAGGCAACCCACATTAAGTAACAGTAAGCTGAGTTAGCAGTTTGTTTTAAGAGTTTTGGGAAGCAACATTATATGAAGACAAAAGTATCTAGTGAATGCACAGAAATTTGTGCCAATTGGAGAGTGTTTAGAGCTATGCCAGTCAAGTGAGAAGTTTTAGTATATGGAGAGATGGCTCTGCATTAGGATTTGAGTGTCTGTAAGGGTATTACTGAGAAAAAAGGAAGGAATCTTTATTTCTGATGTTTGCAATGAGTTCATTCCAATAATTCTTGTCTAGTGTAATGAATTTCATTTATTTTCTTTTATGTAATCAACTTTTATGTTCTTTTCTGAGAAGTGCATTGACAGCCTCTTGTGGATATGTTCAGTGACTGACCTCTATGGTAATTAAATAGAAAAATAAAACTTATGGTCTTTCAAGCCAGAGTCACAGTGTGGTCTGACCTGTCCAACATTACATAAACTGGAATCATGACATAGTACAAGCAAGATTTCACATGTATATTAAGTATAGCATGTGGGCATTAATTTGATCAGTATCCTTTCTTTCAGATATCAATATGGCTGGTGAACCCAAGCCTTACAGGCCCAAATCTGGAACCAAGAGGCCTCTGTGTGCCCTTTATGGGTAAGTGACCATCATTGTTACAATCCCTGTGCAGACTGTTAGCTTTAAAAAGAATAAATTTCCAGTTGATAGCTGTAAGAATGACACAACAAGAGTATAGGTTTTAAGACATTTCCTGTAACATAAGACTAAAAGCAATATTGACTAAACACTATGTTTGTACCAACCCATACTTTAAACAATAGAACAGAATTTTACCCTTTTGCTTTTAACATAAGTGAAAAGCCACTTCATGTTTATACTTTAAACTGTCCCTTAAGTCGTCATTTGAATTTCTTGGACACAGCCCAAAGTAATGCTTAGTTCCTAGGGGTTTACTTCCATTCCTATCCTTAGATAGACTGGTAACTCTAACTGTCTTTTACAGTAAAGTTTTTCCTGATGATTTCCCCTCTCGTGCAAATTAGACGAATATTCCAGCTTTTAAATCCACACTAATTTGATCTTTCAATCAAGTGCAAGTTTTTGTCCACATACCCTCGTAGTTATCCATTGCGACATTTGGCCTCCAGTTGCTGTCTCTTCAACAAATTGTCTATGTCTGAAAGTTTCAGGACACCTTAGAAGCTCTTGCCCTATCAAAGCCATGATAAATCATATTTTACTTATTTGTTCATGGAATGTGGGTGTTGTTGGCAAGGGTGATTATCTATTGCCCATCTTGAACTGTCCTCTCAGAATCAACCACATTGCTGTGTTTCTGAATTCACATGTAAGCTGACCAGGATAGGATGGTAGTTTTCCTTCCCCAAAGGAAAATAGGGAACCACATGGGACTGGTTCACAATTCATTGATAATCATTCAATGGACACCATTATTGAAACTAGCTTGCAATTCCAGATTTTGTTTTATCAACTGAATTTATTAATTGAATTTAAATTCCACCAGTTGCCAAAGGTAAGATTTGAACCCATGTCCGCAGAAGGTGGCGTGGGTCTCTGGAATGCTAATTGAGGAGCCAGAGCATTGTATTCATGTAGGAATGTTGATTGGCTGGCCTTGAAAAGCTAGCTCTCTTTTATAGTGAAAGTAAATGGATATTGTGAAACGTAACTATTTACAACCTGTCATTTTCCTCAACCTCTTGGGACTTTGGTGACTATCAATCTCTGCATTGTCAACATAATTGTCTCTGGGTGAGAAAACCTTGTGCTCTCTTTCTAGCTAAACAGTCAGGTCTTCCCTGACTCTTTAACAGTCAGGTCACTGAGGCCTGCTGTTAGATTTTAGAAAGGGTTACATTATGTGCTTCATTTTATACAAAAGTAACAATCTTAAAATAATCTCATGTTTGTAAAATTTTCACGAGGTAGATGTTTTTTGCAGAATGTAAAAGTTTATAGATGCTACTGTTCATCTGAATTGATTCATTCAAAAACATGAAAAAGATCTTTCAAAATTTATATAAATGCTCAATGTAAATGTTTCTCAGTAGATCTGTTGACATGATTTAACTTATTTTAATTTACTTAACAACATCATTTTTGTCTGTAAACAAAAATGTGAGTTTAGATGGATTATGAAAAGATCTTTCCTGTGAGATCAGAGAATTATACCAACTTTTTCTGTATTTCTTCTATGATCCAACATATTACAGCCTATCTCTTTTGGTTTTGAAATTTGGTAAAGAATGCAATTTGCTTCAGAAAAAACTTTATCAATTCATTCCACATCAATTATATTACAACAGTAACAATCTATTTGAATATAGCCCCTTTAATTGGATAAAATGTACTGAGGTGCTGCACAAGAGTCTATGACATTGAGCCACATAGTAAGTCAGATAGTCAAAAGCTTTGTCAAAAACATGAATTTTAAGGAATGGCTTAAACTGGTAAGTTAAGATACTGAGGCAGAGGGTTATAGCGACGGTGCTTCAGAGTTTTCGGGTCCAGGTTACTGAGGAAAAGGACAGTAAAGCTGGAGCAATTCAAATAGGGAATGATCAAATAGCTAGAATTAGAGAAATGCAGATTTCTTGAAGGTGTGGGGAATGGAGGAGATGACAAAGATAGTGAGGAGGAAGTCCGTGAAGGGATTTAAACATAAGAATGAAAATTTAAATTGAAAATGTTGCTAGACCAGCAGCTGACATCAACAATGAAGATGAAGGCAAAGTTGGGCAATTTTACAAAAATGGAAACGTTAGGCCATGTTACAGAAGTAGAAAGATTTTAGTCTAATGGTTCCTGTGTATTTAAGATCTGAAGCTCATCGCTGGGTCAAGTATGAATCCATGGTTCCAAACAGACTGGCTTAATCACATGCTGTTGCCAGGGAGAGGGGTGGTGTCAGCATCTAATAAAGCTTATTTAGAACAGGCACCAAAATGATGGCCTCAGTTTTCCTCAAATATTTAACTTGAGGAAATTTCTACTCATGCAGTAATAATGTTGGATAAGTAGTCTCATAATTTAACATCAGTAGAGCGGTTGAAAGATCTAATAATGAAGTCAAATCGGATGTTCATAACTGGCCATCGTATTATCAAGCCTCATCCCAGCTCTTCCTAAAATCTAGGCAAGAGTCCATTCCTCATTCCCCTGTTGCTGAGTGGATCCATACAAATTTACAGCTCAGAAAGATCTCAGGACCACTACATCACCGAATTGGTCCTAGCAATCAATGGTCACATGAAAGTTGAGAGACAAATTAAATAAATAAGAAAATTATATGTGGATCGAATAAAAAAAATTCAGTAAAAATGTCAGAAGGACCTGACATGTCTTCTCGCCTACCCTTCCCTGGCAAGTTGTCATATATATTTATAATCATGTTATAACACATGTCTGGAGCAGGTGGAACTTGAATCCAGGCTTTCAGGCCAGTATGAGTCCCTCAGGAGGATGGAAACGTTAGATGCAGCTTCAACGGCATGATAATGAAGGAATGATTTCACGACCTGGCAAACAGAGGAGAAATCAGAAATCCAATGTCAATAATATTTATTAAGATGGATAGTTTAATTTGAAAGTACTTTCTTCAAATGTCATTCTGCATTTTACATTTGCCATGAAGGTAATGGCTCTGATATGTTCTGTATCACTATAGTAAGTGTTAATTTTTGTAGTGATTAACATTACTTTTGTCAATTCAGGTTTATTCTGCAAAATGTAAGAACAGAAGTTGGTTATTGAGTCCCTTTAACCTTTTCCATAGCATTCAATGGGGAGAGGTGGTGGAGGTGTATTGGCAAAGTCACTGGACTAGTAATCTCAGGCCCCAGGTAAATACTCCAGGGACATGGGTTTGAATCCCACCATGACAGATAGTGAGACTTGAATTCAATAAAGTCTGGAATTAAAGACAACCTGAATAACAACCATGTACAATTGCCAATGATCGTAAAAACCCATCTGTTCTTAAATGAAATCGGCCATAAAGTGCCTGCTCTGACCGACATGTGGGTTCAGATCCATGGCTTGTAGTTGACTCTTAAATCTTAAGGAAAGGAATTAAACCAAACAGATCACCAGCGTTGACCTAGATACCAGAAACAAACACAACACTGTGCACTGCAAACACTGCAAAGCCCTCCTCCACTTGGAGCCTTGTGACATCTGATCAAGCAACAGCATGACATAGTCATACATGGATTCAGACTTTACAGACTATGTCCAGTACATCAGCATCACCATTCCACTAGAAGTAATCGCTATGAGACAGAGTCAGGATGGAAAGTCTTGTGGTATCAAGAACAAACATTGGCAAATAAACCTTCTCTTACTTAACTGCTGCTTCCACTCTCTTTGACCAATGAGTTAGTATTTTTTTCATGTTGGACACCACTTGGATTAAGCATTGAGATGGCAGGGATGTGAAATGTAAAAGCAGTGAGATCTGGGTATGGCTGGTACTGGGCTGTCATCCTCAGCTCATTACTGCAGGAGTTCCTCAGGATCATGTCTTAGGTGTAACCATCTTCAGTTGCTTTATCGATCATCTTCCCTTGATCGTAAGGTCAGACAGGGGAGTATTCTCTGATGATTACATGATGTTCAGCACTATTTGCCACACCTCAGATACTGAGGCAGCCTGTATCCATATGCAACAAAACCTGGACAGCCCCAAAAGTGCCAATAACTATCTCAAACAGGAGAGAATCTAACCATCGCCCCTTGACATTCAATGGCATTACCATAACTGAACAGGTCAATATCTTGTGGGTTACCATTGACCGGACACTGAACTGGATTGGCTAAACAACTACTGCAACTACAAGAAACAGAAACGTAGAAAATAGGAGGAGTAGGCCATTCAGCCCTTCAAGCCTGTTCCACCATTCATTAGGATGTTGGCTGATTGTCCAAGTAAGTACTGGTTCTGCTTTCCCCCCATATCTTTTGATCCCTTTTGCCCCAAGTGTTATATCCAAGTCCTTTTCGAAATCGTAGAATGTTTTGGCCTTGACTGCTTTCTGTGGTAGTGAATTCCAGAGGCTTACCACACTTTGCATGAAGAAATTTCTCCTCTTCTCAATCTTAAATAATTCACCTTTCATCCTTAGACGGTGACCCCTGGTTCTGGACCCCCCGCCACCAGGAACATTCTTTCTGCATCTACCCTGATTATTTCTGTTAGAATTTTATTGGTTTGTGTAAGGTCTCCTCTCATTCTTCTAACTTCATAATCCTAATCAATTCAACCTTTCCTCATACCTTAGTCCTGCCATCCCAGGAATCAGTAAACCTGTGCAACTCTCCCTCTATCACCAGCACATCCTTCCTCAAATAAGGAGATCAAAATGCACTTAGTATTACATGTATAGACTCACCACAGCCCTGTATAATTGTAGCAAAGACACCACTGATCCTGTACTCAAGTTCTCTCACTTACCATTTGCCTTCTTTACTGCCTACTCACCTGCATGCTTAACTTCTGTGACTGCTATGCAGTGACACCCAGATCTCATTGTACATTCCCTGCTCTAAATTTACAGCCATTCATATAGCCGACCTTCCTGTTTTGCTACAAAGTCAATAACCTCACACTTACCAACATTAGCCTGCATCTGCCATACATTTGCCTGCTCACTCAGTTTGTGCAAATCACACTGAAGCATCTCTGTATTCTCATCTCAGCTCACCCTCCCACCCAGCTTTGTGTTATCTGCAAATTTAGAGATATTACATTTAGTTCCCTCATCAAAGTCATTAATATATATTGTGAATAGCTGGGGCCCAAAACTGATTACTGCAGTACCCCAATAAGCATTGCCTGTCATTCAGAAAAAGACCTGTATATTCCTAATCTTTGTTTCCTGTCTGCCAATTAGTTTTTTGTCCATCTCAGTACACTCCCTCCAATCCGTTGCACTTTAACTTTACGAACTAATTTCTTAGGTGCAACATTATAGCATGTCTTCTGAAAGTCCAAATAAACCACATCCACTGGCTCAACCTCACCATTTTGGCAAATTACATCCTCAAAGCATTCCAGTCGACTCGTCAAGCATAAGTTACCTTTCATCAATCCGTGTTGACTCTGTCAAATCCTGCCACTGTTTTTCAAATGGTGAACTATTAATTTTTTAATAATTTTCCTCAATTACTGATGTCAGGCTGACTGGTATACAATTCCTGGCTTTATTTCTTTAAATAGAGGGATTATATTAGCTACCCTCCAACCTGTAGAAACTGTTCCAGCGTATTTAGAATCTTGGAACATGACTACAAATGCATCAACTATTTCTAGGGCCATTTCCTTAAGTACTCAGGGATGTAGATTATCAGAGCTTGGGGATTTATCGGCTTTCATTCCCAGCAATTTCCCAACACCAATTCCTGAGTAATATGAATTGCCTTCAGCACCTCCCTCTCACTAGACCCTGCGGTCCCCAACATTTATAATATGTTATTTGTGGCCTCTGAGAACACAGAATTGAAGTCTGTATTTATTTGGTCAAGTATTTTTTGAGCATGCTAGAGACTAGGAACTCTGTGGAAAATAACTTGCCTCCTGTCTCCCCAGAGTTTGTCCATCATCTAAAAGCCATAAGTCAGCAGTGTTAACAGAAGACTCTGCACTTACCTGGGGGATTGCTGCTCCAACAACATTACAAATGATATCTTTAGAACCACTTAGATGGTATCATTGAACATACCATCTAGATTGAAGCAGGCCACATTATGGCACCCCATCCAACACCCTCTATATTCATTCCCTTTACCATCAACACTGTGTGTACTGTCTACAAGATGCACTGCAGGAACTCCCCGAGCTCCTCTGACAGAAACTTACAAACCTGTGAGCTCTACCAATTAGAAGGACATGGGTAGCATTGGAATACTATCACCTGTAAGTTCCCCTCCAATTCACACTTCATGCTGGCTTGCAAATATATCATTGCTTCTTACTGTCAACACTGTACTGGAACTCACTGGAGGTTGAAAAATGGGAGGTGATCTCACTGGAACCTAAAAATATTATTAGAGGATAAATGCAGGTAGATGTTTTCCCTGACTGGGGAATCCAAAATCATGGGATGTAATTTAAAAATTAGGCGAATGCCACTTAGGTCCAAGGGTAAGAAAAACTAATTGACTCAGATGGTTATGAATCTTTGGAATTCTCTAACACAGAGGGCTGTGGGAGATCAGCCTTTGAGTATGTTTAAGATAGAGATTAATAGATTTCTGATTACCAAGGTCATACAGGAATATGGGGATGGGATGGATAAAAGCATGGAAATGTTTGTTCAGCCATGATTGTGTTGAATGGCAGTGCAGGCTTGATGGGCTGAATGGCCTGTTCCTGTTCCTATGTTCCAAATTCCTATCCTACAACATTGAGGTTAGGGATGAGCAATGAATACTGGCCTAGACAGCAACATTCCCACCCATGAATGAAAGAAAAACAAAATATAGAACAAAACCAAAAGTTGCTGGAAAAGCTCAGCAGGTCTGGCAGCATCTGTGACAAAAAATTAGAGTTAACGTTTCGACTCTTGTGACCCTTGCTCAGAACAGGGAAATTTTTATTTGTAAACCATAACCCTGTACGCCATTGGTAATCAGAAATCTATCAATCTCTATTTTAAACATACTTGTAAAGGTGAGTTACATATGTCTACAGCCTATTCCACATAGAACTATTTCCTACTTTCACTCCTAAAAGATCAGGCTTTCATTTTTAGATTACATTCCTTATTTGACTGCCCAACTAACAGAAATAGTTTCTCTTTAGCGACACTTGCTGTTTTCTTTAAAATCATAAAACTTCCATCACATTTTCCCTTATATTTCTACATTCTTGGAATAAAGATCTAGATTGTTTAGTCTTTCCTTGTAAATATAATTCTTGGAGTCCAGGTACTATCCCAACAAATCTATGCTAATCTGCCTCTCGGGTCAAATGTAAGCTTCTGAAGGTATCCAGAATACTATCAGTACTTCAAATGTGGGTCTGTCTAAGAGCACTTGGATAACTTCTACAAGTGCAGTCCTCTGGATATAAAGTTCAGTATTCTATTAGACTTTTTAATTATTCCCTGCACCTATTCATGGTTTTTTATATGGATATGGATATATGTATATGTGGATCCTCAAATCTCCTTGAACGTCTTCATATGATTTAGAAAATATTCTGTCCTGTATTTTTCTTTTCCAAAGTGGATGAACCTGCTTTTATCTAATCAATAGGCAGCATGGTGGCTCAGTGGTTAGCACTGCTGCTTCACAGCGCCAGGCTGGGTTCGATTTCACCCTCGAGCAACTGTCTGTGTGGAGTTTGCACATTCTCTCCGTGTCTGCGTGGATTTCCTCTGGGTGCTGCGGTTTCCTCCCACAGTCCAAAGATGTGCAGGCTAGTTGGATTGGCCATGTTAAATTGCCTGTAGTGTTCAGGGATGTGTAGGTGGGTTATGGGGGAATGGGTCTGGGTGGGATGCTCTATGAGTCGGTG